AATCACGAGGAAGGAGCAGAGAGGGTCACATGGCAGGAGCGCTATTTAGGAAAGGAAGGCACGACTGGGCCAGCCCACCCGCTCAGCCAATCAGCGTATCGCGACACGCCATGCAAGTTTCCCCACTCCCAGCCCGCCATCGCAACCACTACGTTATCACAGTCCTGCCGACGCGAGGCATCTACTCCGGAGTACTTAGAGCTTGCTATGCACTGTACGCTTTCGCATCACTCGCACCATCATGTCCTTAGCCACACAAGTACTTCGTTGCCCCCAGTCCCTCTTCGCCACCACGACGACAGCACCCCCGCCAGCCTCACTACGATACCAGCGTACGGATGACACCCCTCTAGACCACCTAGGCTCAGCCGACACCTCCAATACGCTTCACATGGCCTCAAACAGAGACACAGGTGTGGCATGTGACACGCTGCCCCCCACATTCTGGGCTATCGTCGACTACGCTATACCCTTTTTGTCATTGGTCCCATCATGCAATACACAACCATTGGGAAGATCGACTCTCACCTATCTCCTTCACTCTGCGCTCGAGTATTGATGTCTCAACTTACGCGCTGCTCACTAGGTCTTATTGTAGCTGTATCTATCTTTCGAACGGCTCTCGGCTCTCCTCGTCCTCTTGCTATCTGTGCAAGTATGAGGCCCAGTCTATTGCTTGCTATTCGCTCAAGTGTGATCCGCGGAGGCAGACCAAACCTTGATTTCGCATCGGTATGATAAGATAGAATCGAGACGGCCCATTTGCATTCTTACTTTCCATCTCCACCTTCATCATAGACAGTCCAGTGTGCGTGCTCGATGGACGTTTTCATATTATCATCACAATACGTTGTATGAGGGGAGCCGAATTGGGAGCAGACAGGGAAAAACGGAACACTCTGAGGCCTACGTTGCCCTCAGGTCGCCTGCTTTGGATGCTCCTATCTTAATATAGGCTGCTCGCCTGTTCGGGTTTTTCCTTAGGCGAGATGTGATGCAACAAATCCGATTCTGATCGGTAGATCTGAAATAACGAAATCGGAAGTGCTCTTATTTTTGTCTCCCCTATTTGAAATGGTGCAATTACTGGAACTCAACTACTCTGAGTTTTTTAGGTGTATACGAACGACGAACACAAACTGCGTGAAATTAGCATAGGTACTAGTCAAAACCCTCTTCCAAGTCACACAAGTGCTTCTATACAGTTCCACCCTCTCTTCTTGGCAGCCTCACGGACTGAAAAAGATCGGTTCCAAGCTTCGACTACAATTCATTGACTCCTCAAGAACTTACTGGGGTTAATTGGGTGCACAGACATCATGCCCCATTTCCTACCATTCTAGTGATGGGCCCGCCTTTAGTATTAAGGTGGCGATGAAAGCACTACCCCCTTATATATACCAGCTCATTTCCATGACCACAGGCCCATTATCTCCTGTGCGGCTGGTCAACTGAATACTGACTTACTAGAATCTCAATTTGAGCACGCCCGTCTACCTACTAAGCAAGATCAAGGACCGACCAGAGATCCCATCAGATCGACCTCAATCATGGCCGATCAATCCTTGCCAGGAGGAATCTTGTACACAACTCCAGCTCCGTCCTCCGGCATGAATCACAAGGCCTTGCGCAAAGCTCGAAAGTCCGCGGGAAGGGTAGCTAAGGGCAGAGTGTGTGTAGTCAACGAGCAGGAAGCTTGCGCCGGAGAATCCCCATCTATCGATACGCGGCCGATCGAAGATACGGTCCAGTACGAGTGTTGCATTTGTGGAGATGACTTCATGTTTTCCGAAGGAGTCGCTCACTGTACAGAACACTTCATGTGCAACGACTGCGTCGTCGACGCCTACAACGCTGCCCTCGCAGACACTGAAGCCTTTCCAGCCCGGTGCTGTACTCCACTTCCACGTCGTCTTGTAGAACATTTGCTGAGCCCAGAGGTCCTCAAGACCTACTCACTCAAGGCGCAAGAATACTACACACCACGCGCCATTCGCGTGTATTGTGTCAATGAGCGGTGTCGCTCATTCATCCCGAGATCTCATGTTGACAACAGCCACGCTTTCTCCACAGTGGCACACTGCGGATGCGGGACTAACACCTGCGTCGGATGCCAGCATGAGTGGGCAGGCCAAGAGCACCGTTGCGTAGTATCAGACGAGCCAGGGATGCGGCCGAAGTGGATGCCTGAGTACTCGAGCAGCTGTCGCGCAAAGTCATGTCCAAACTGCCGGGTCTGGATGGAGCACAAAGAAGCTTGTAACCATATGACCTGTCATTACTGCCGTCATGAGTTCTGCTTCGTTTGCCTACTACCTTGGACCAACGAAGGCTTCCATCAGGATGAAGGTTGCCCGTCTTACGGAGATCCAGTCGAAGGGTATGATGAACAGGGGTATGAGCTTGGTGCTCGCGGCCTGCATCGAGACAGTGGTTATAGCCGCGCAGGACTCAATCGACTTGGCCAGCGACAGCTAAGCCACGCCATTAGGCAGCATGATGCAGCTTATGATGGTGATGACTATAACGATCCTGACTTTGATGATCATCGCTACGATGATGAGTTGGATGATGATATGGATTATGGCGACGAATGGGGTTACGAAGATGATGAACCGGAGTACGACGAGGATGATGCAACAGAAGAAGATACGTCTGATGATGAGATTGAGATCGACCGAACAGATCCGGCGCAAGTGGTCCACGACCCCGAGGATGAAGTCGAGCAAGATGGTCAAACTCATAACATTGACGACGATCAATCTGAGCTGAGCTGGATCGACGGGCCTCAGAATGATTTCAGCGAAGACGGCGAAGTAGACGCAGCGCAGAGCGAGGCTGACGTAGCTGCTCCTGCAGACGATGTCGTTCCAGTCGCGACAACAATTGTAACTCTACCAGATCCAGCACCACCACGCCCACGGCCGTCACCGCCATCAGATATGGCTCGACAAGAGATTCGTCTGCGCCGACGCGTCCCAATTCTGGCCCCAAGACCACACGACGCTAGCGTCATCTTCGACGGCGGTACTCCGAGCTTTCTGCAGCTCAATTGTATCCACTCGTGGCGACGCAAGATGCTCTATGCGACAGAGTATAGCTATTCGCGCTGCAAAGGATGTACATATCGTGCGAATAGTTGGACAAACTTCTGCTCTATCTGCGGGCTGGTCGCTTGCGATTGGTGCACACAAAGCTTCCGCTACCGGTTCTTGGCCGAGTGGGAGTGCGCGGCGAGTATGGTGGATGTCTTCATTTGGGCAGAGAAGGGTGTCGTACCGTTCAAGACTGAGCGTCGTCGAAAGGTGAAGAAGGTGGAGGACGAGATTTGGGCGGATCGCGACGAAGACATGCTGGGTCTCGCGAGACTAATCAAGGTTTTTGAAGCCCAGCTGTCAGAGCTACAGCCTTTTCTATACTATGATTTTGGAATTAGTTCGTTGTTCGAAGAGCTGGAGTTGGAGATGCTGAAGGAGTACTGGGCTGTTACGGAGGAGGATGTGGGTATACCTGGGCTCACCATGACATTCGACCTGGCGAGGAACTTCTTTGCACCATTGCGCTGGGATGAATCGACGTAGCCACGTAGGGCGAAGGAGTCCGGCAGTGCAATTATAATTGAATCTCTGCCGAGATCTGCAGTAGCACATACCAATGATTTTAAGAAACTTGTAGACGCCTGATGGAACGTCGATGTTCGCGATGTGACGCGCAGTGATGACGTCATAGCGTGGCACTTTCGCGCGTCAACATCTCGGGGCCGTCTTCCGACCTCCTCCCATCCAAGATCAACACGACAGCAGCTACCAAAAGACAGCTCGAATTCAACGGCCATCACACAATCTTTCTTTTCGCTCCTTGCTTTCATTTGCATTACCTTCTGTCTCATTTCGTAGCGTTCATATGCATCGTCCAATTATCCAGCTTTATGCCTGCCATGTTCCCTCCTTCTGACAGATCGGTGACGGGGACTATTTCTTCACCGGGTGAGAGTTGTGAGCGTATTGTCACATTTAGTTGAGGGCACCAGTTTCGTACTCTTGACACACTCTCGCGTAGCTCTCTTCTTCAACACACTGCATGAAGCAGTAGAATCAACGAAAAAGGGGTGGGTAATTATCCTCCGCTTCGTCAGTACGAGCCCCCAACGCAGCTCGCACTTGGGCTCTCGTGAGACCTCTGCTCTTACATCTCCGCCGTTGTATTGGCCCGGGGGTCGGGCAATCTATTTGGGGGTTATGTGCTCGCGAAATCAAGAGTTGGGGGCTTACTATATGTTACCATGCGCATCGGAGCGCGTTGGGATGCGCCGTTCGATCGTCAGCAAGAGCTCCAACACTCTCTCGCCTAGGTCTCGAGACCTTCGTGTGGTACCGTCACTCACGTCCGTCTCGCGGTTATTGAACGTCCTCGCCCAGTTGGGTGCTCAAGGTCCAGCCCAAGGAACGTAGTTCCAAGAACTCTTGCGCGAGATGAGGGCCAAGCGCACGTTTCTTCCGTTCGGTCCGTGGCTACCCATAACACCCGCACGAGGAGCCCGCTCTCACAGATGACGACAAGAACCCGTCATACAGCGTAGCAGGCCCTTTGTACACATGGTATGACCATCAGGTCTGGGGGCAGCATGATGGGCCTCGTAGGACGGTCGACTTACACCGTAAACGGCGCGATCCATCCATGTGAGCGAAGGTTTCGGAACAAAAGAGGTACTCAACGGTACCGAAGAGAAGTGGGAAGGTGGGCGGAGGGGAGGAAAGCAAGGACAGTCAGGAAGGACAGTCTTGTTCTTATTGCAGCCTGTCGGACCCCGGCGGCCGTATTGGCTCGTGCCCCACCACGTGGTGGTCCGTCAGGTATTTTGATCACGTTATTCACTTGCACCGCGAAGGGTGCCTAGACGCACAGACGTACTAAAATTGCTTCCTCTACTTGGCGTGCTCTACGTTCTTTGAACCACTGACACCGAGATCGTACCTTATCCCCCTTACTGCATACCCGCCATGGCTCCCGGCCACCATCAATCGATCAAGTCCAACAAGCGACGCAGATCTCACTCGCCAAGTACCGACGACAAGAAGAAACAGAAGCAGACGCAGAAGCGCACGGCGGAAACCACATCGACAAGGCGACCTGACACTCGCAAGGTTGCAGAAAACGCCCCGAACAAAAACGCCGCCTCCAGGACCAAGGCAAGGAAGGCAAGGCGCGCGGCCGCGAGAGATAGGCACACTCGTAGTACGGCTCGCTCCGGCAAAGCGTTGGCCGCCCCTCCAGTAACTACACTGTATGCGACCGCCATAGATCTTCCCGATGAACTGATTATGATGATGTTTGACTATGTAAGTACTCCCTGGTATTCGCTCAAACTCGGTCGTAACGTGACTGGCGCTCCAGCAGAGTGTTGAAGCTAACTTGGGTAGTGCGAAAAGGAGAGTCAAGTGCAACTGTCCATGACCTGCAAGGCAATGCACCGAGTTGGAACGGAGGCACGATTCCGGGATATCGACATCGTGGTCGGCCGGATAACGTCCAAGACGACCCCCGCTCAATTCTCGATCGTTCTCAAAAACTTGCGTTTCACTCGGCATCTTCGTATCAATGTACTGGATAATGATCGTGGAACAAGGCTTTTTAAGCGTCTTCTCAACCGTCTCAAGGAGCTCAGCCCAGTGTCGCTACGCTTCGTGGGTTCTCTCAATTACAAGTCGTACGTCGGACTATACAGCCTTCTCACCAGCAAGGAGCGTGGTGAGAAACTCAGATCTAAACTTCGCAACCTCGATCTTCCAATGCGACCGCTTCGCGAGACTTGCCGACCTGGACATATCAACTCGGGGCCTTTCAAAGATGGTGGCATCTTCAACCACTCGGCTATTATCCGGTTCCAATCAGACAAGCAACTAGAAAAACCCCTGGCTAGGGAGATCAGCGTCGTAGGAGATCACGATCCCAGCCAGCAATTGGACTCCGGCACCCCGCATAGTGTGGCGCAAAACGTCATCCAGATGATGGGTATCGAGACTCGAAGTATTGATGAGCTTGTGGTCTTTGGCCGACATACGACTAGGGACTCTCCGACCTTCTATCTTCAGAACCCTTTCGATAACTTTGGTCTTCACTTGCCTTCGAAGCCGTTCGGGCTCAGAGAGCTGAGTCTTGTTGGCCTCGATTTCCGGCAACTACGGCCTGCAATGTTTACTTCATTCAGCATCACGACTCTTCGCACTCTTCGGGTGAAGCAATGCTGCTGGTTGAAGAAACTTTTCGAGCACCTGATGAGCTCAAAGGACCCTCTTCATCTTCATACGGTCAAGATCAATATATACAGCTATGGAGAGTATCTTCAGCCGGATGAAGCTTTCGGATTCGCCAAGTTCTGCAAGTCATTTTCGACTTTGAAGAAGGTCGAGATAGAAGCTGGTGCAAATTGGCAAACTGACTTTGACGCACATATTCTCAGTTCACACAGCGAACTCGAAGAGTGCTTCCTGAGTCTCGGCAAACCATCACTAGACATGGCGACGATCGAGATTCTCCAGGAGAACCACAAGAACCTCAAGGTGTTATGTTTCAGGTGTCAAGAAATAGCAGGATCTTTGGAGCGGGGTCGTTTATCACAAGAAGGTGAGAAGAAGATTGCTCTTCTGGCTGCTGAATTGCCGCTGTTCAAGAAGTTGGAGGAGTGGCAGCTGATCTGCGATCCTCCTCGCTCCAAGGACGTATTGAGTAGTTTCCAGACCATTGCGACGGAGATACACCAGCGCGTCGCGGCTGCCTTTGGCACACGTCCACTCAACATCAACACCATTTCCATCCTCACTCGGGACATCTTTTACACCCTAGATGAGGTTGACGCTGGGAAGATACCCCACATGCATAGGTTTCATTTCTCAAAGGTGGTAGCAGAGGCTGGGGGTATTCAGTGTTGAAGGAAGGGACGAAGACTGGTTACAGCATGCGGCGAAAGCTCCTGAGTACCGTATTAAGTTGGCGTTTGTGAAGCGGAGATATATCGAGGGCCTCCTGGAAGTGCTGCAGGTAGATGGAACAGCAGGACATACATGGACTTTGAGGATGACAGGTAGTACGTCAGAAATAGGAATCACATATTGCACATACACATCTTAGCGCCTAATTCATGGTTCCACATCAGATCACATGGAGTGGTCCGAAGATGTAGGGTTTCAAGTCGCACGCGAGTACGAACCCTAATTGACGCCCTAGATGGGTGGACTTTGGGCTTGAATGGGAAGTTCGTGTGGTGGGCGCTTTATCTTTGTGTAGTACGTGTGATCTGAGGCACCTCCTAATTCGCCACGTAGTATAGGGTGTTGCGAACTCGTTGCTACTTCCTCTACTTGTCGAGCATGTTGTTAGAATGTATGTAGGGTCTGGTTCTCCGACGTGTTCGTAGTCGGCGAGCAGACTAGTCAGACAAGGGCCTGTATCTGCGCACACTGCTCCTTGTGACTCTCTTGACCGGCTCTGTTGTGGAAGACATGGCAGAGGCCTGTGGGACGCGTGTGGAGACGAGAGGACGGGAAAGGACCCATATTGTGACGACTGGGTCTCTTCCGGAAACGATCCGTAGTCCGAAGACAAAATGGCTTTGGCGAATTTTGGGTCTGGAAACGGCGGAGGCATTAGGTCATTTCGACATAATGGCGTGGACGGTGGAACGACGGAGGAGGCGCCTTGAGAAGATGTCTGGATCTGGATCGGGTCGCTCTTGTGTCCAGTCTCCCTCCTCTTCGCGTTGACGTCTCTTCCGGGGTAGGGCGTAGAAGCGCCTTGGGACGAGGTCTGGATGTGGATCGGGTCGCTCCTGTGTCCAGTCTCTCTCCTCTTCGCGTTGACGTCTCTTCTGGGGTAGGGCGTAGACGAGTCTACTCTGGCACGTTTGCAGCTGGTGTCTTCCACCTGCGCGACTTCAGCATCTTCTAACATTCTCTTTTGGCTCATACTGCTGCGCCGATGATGATGTTGTTCTCGATAAAGGACTAGAGTGGATGCCGAAGCAGAGTCTGTAATGCCGTAGTGCTGGTGGTGCTATACTGAGAGTCGTCCGAGGGGTGGGGTGGGGGTGGGGGTGGGGAAGACGCCGAGTCCCATCCCCTTGTCTATGATATCTAGTGACGATCCGTCCGCTCTACGAGGTTATCCTACGGTATGACTTTCCTCCTCGTCTGATTGCCCTGCGTTCTTACATGGCCAAACATCCTTCTTTGCATGGAAAATGTGCGTGGCGATATCTTGGTTGATCCGCCTCATTCCCTGACACTGCAGTGGTGCGAAGCAGCGCCGCGGGCGTTGCTCCACTTCTGAACTCCCTATGTCCCCATCCAACCAAGTCCCGCATCAGCCCGTTGCCCGGTTTCAAGCTGGGATCACCATGGGTGTCCATCCCCTGGCCTGTACAAACTAATACGCCATATCGTCCCAACGTCTAGCCCTAGTTTATACCCATTTTGGTTATACCATAACTACAGCGCCCGCAATGTGCCCTTTCTTCGCTCCTAACCCATCGTCGTCGAGTTTCGCACTGGCGGTAGCCGGCTAACCGCGTCATCCGCCACGCATGAGTTTCTCCTGGTGCAGGACGGTACCGCCATACCTCCTCTCTTGGAGTACCTTTTCTGTTCCTATAACATCAGCCCCATGCGCTAGAGCCTAACTATGTACTATCGTTGTTAAATTTCTTAATTATTATTATATTGTAGATAACTTGTCTATTAAAACCCAAACTTCTCGCATTCTTAGCGCATTTAAAGGTTAAACTGTAGAGGTGAGCTGCAGTCTACATTAGTATTAGAACAGAAACTGGCAAAATTCCAACGTAATGTAGACTCTTGGCTGCTTACATCCATCACCCTCTAGACATGGATGTTCCTGAATGCGTTACTTCATATTCATACTTCCTTACTCGCCGGACCGATCAAGAGTCCATGTCCGCTCCCAATTTAATACCCACCGACACTGGATATACTACCTTTCCTTGCACCTTTTCCTCAATGTCCATCAATATCAGGTCAATCGGTGCCATGTAACCGATGTTTGTTGTTTTGTTACCCCCTATAGCGAGGCCAACAATGCACGCCTGGTTGTCTTGACGTTCTTCATTAAGGAGGATGAGAGAACCTGAATCCCCTGGGGATATAAAAGGGGCTCCGTCTCGCATCGTAGATACTATGGAGTGGCAGAGTACCGGTTTGAAGGTGTCGGTCTTCCCACCTGTGTTGTTGACTTCCTTAAATGCATGTACGCTGGTGTTGAGTATGGACATTGCACGGTTGACGACTCCCCTTGTCCACCCTGAAGTCCTACCGATCTTGACGACCTCATAGCTTCTATCTTCTTGTATCGAACCCCATTCGGATATCTCCGAATCTGATGCAGAGTGCCGGTGATCAGTTGAACGCGGAGTCTTTGATACCGCCAAGCGAGGTGCGTCTATCGAGAATAGCGACCAGTCAATGTCCCACTCCAGGGCTGGGCCCTCGGTTGTATCGTTGGTACTGCGGCTTTGTTCCGTCCAATTCTCATGCTGCTTCGCTGTGTACCTGGGATGAGGACGAGAGGTTTTTGCTGAGCTTGCCCATGTTGTTCCTGCAACGTTGGATGCCTCTTCCACCCGCTTACGCTCTTTGCGCTCTTCTTCTCTTTCTTCTCGCCATTGCTGCCTTTTGGACCGATGGCTCTCGGATTCTACAGCTTGATGCTTCGAACTTGCGTCGCGGAGATATCTGTTGTGTTTGTTGATTATGAGTTTGCGTCTTCGGACGTACCGGGTCTTGTCGCGATCTGATGGTACTACTACGGTGACCGAGCCGCAAGAAGCTTCCCTCAGATGAGGCGGTTGCACTGGCTTCTCGTCACCTCCCCATAGTACGTGGAAGTTAGTTAGACCGACTTGGGTGGCGGGAGTAGGCAGTCCAGGGAATTCGATCTTCAGGAATCCACCGACGCTTTCTGATAGGCCTCCCTTCACTCCTACAGATGTACCAGGGTAGATGTCGGTAGAGAAATGCGAGGGACGGCAGAATTCTTCGTCTTCCGACTCATTCGCGATACCCTTGGGTTTCTTCAGTTCCTTGCTTGCGAAGTCCGCCTCTTCCTCTACTTCGGTTGAAATATCCGACATCTCCGCCTCTTCGGTATCTCCCACAGCGTCCGCCAGATCGATCCTACTGCGCGGTCCGTACAGGAGCTCTACCTCCAGCTTGTAGTCAAAGAGAACGCTGATTCTCGCTATAATCTGGTCCCACACATCTGCGTCTGCGTCTGATGCCGTGATGACGATAGTAGGTTTTAGACCGTCGGTGGATTTTCCAAGGTTAACACAGTCAAGGCTCAGCCACTTCCTATTCGCGATCGTACGGAGAAGGGTTCGTCTCTTGCTCGCCCAATAACGCGCTATCTCTGCCGCCGTCGGTCCTTGTAATGCTGTGACTGTGAAGCTCTCGCCGACCACTCGGTCGATAGCTTCGATCGAAGCGTCTATGTTGTTGGATAGGATATACTGAGCGATTTCTTGGACTGCAGAGGCGCAGTGCTCGTACTGGCGCGGCTCTCCGAGATCCGTATAGAATACGATCGTTGGGTGGGAGGTGGCCAGTTCTGTAGGCCTTGTCCGCGCGACGTATCGAACAGGACCGAGAGTGCTTACGCTATGAGTATCTAAGATTTTGTTGATCGCGGGTTGGTGGGCGACCAAGTGTTTGGTGGTCGTTGGCAGACTTTGCAGTGGCAGGCTTCGCAGCCTGGGCCAACCGAGTCGCCAGGCGCATCTTGTATCAATCTTTGGCTCCATGATCGGTATATCTCCTGCAGAAGCAAAAGGTAAATGTAGAGAGAGACGTGCAGTCTCTATTAAGAAAGAGGGCGCACTGTGTGCAGTGTTCTCAGATCGTGAACGTTTGTGGGAGGAGAAAGCACGGTCGGTGAACGGGCGTTTGGAAGACATTATTGAATGAATGTTCTTCGTTGGTGTGGCTACTGATTCGCTGGATGTAAGCGGTAATCCGTCGTACCCTGGTTGACGTTCACAATTTGTCTAAACCCAGCGCAGGATCTATGACGTCACCCACGCTCAGAACAGCGCTAAACCGCAAGGGTCTCTCTCCACTAACTTGAAGACTCCAACCTACCTACAACTCTCCGTATTCAAGTACCACATATCCCAATGCTTAGGATGTTTGTGCTCGCACCAGACCTTCAGCTCCCCGGCTACTACAGTCTTTAGTCGTCTAACTGCTGCAGCGCGCAGGCATTGCAGGCATCGCAGGCATCGCAAGCATCGCGCTCGTTGCTGTGGCCAATTTGGCTTAACTTGCGCGCTGCAGCACGATGTATTGCATTACAACTTTCAGGTAAACAAGAAAGAGGCTCTCTTTGCTAGCTGTCGTCCTTGTGGCAGTTTTCATGGCGTTTAATAGACAACTAACACTGTAAAGGCATCCACTCGGGTCGCCAATGCACCCCCAGCATACCTACCTCACTGTGAAGCGGACTCTGTCTTGCTAAGCTCTACGGAACATGATGCCTCTGGTCTGCAGCTAGACAGACGCTCTCTACCTGGCACCATGTGGGTGAGATGGGATCCTATGCCTAGTACGGCTTGTCGTCCCCGAACGCGACTTCCTCTAACGCACTGCCCCGCAAATTTGCGCCTGCGCAGCTTCCTCGAACAGAAAGACATGGCGCACAATTAATTCCAAAATGCGGGGCCACAGCATATTGAGAGTGTTTTCGCTGCGCTTTTGTTGCCCTTCTGCTCTTCTCTTCCGCGTTGTCTTTGTCCAGTCCTGGCTTTGCCCACTCCATTCAGCCCAGCATGTCTCACTACCAGAGCCGACGAGAGCGCCTTGAGATTGATGTCATGAATCGGATCTTACGAGAGCCGGACTACTAACCCTTCCTGAGGGAAGAGGTAAACGCCGCCAACAAGTTCAGACCCACGCGGGCCTACCAGACACACAGAGAAGCATACGACAAGAAGAACAGCACACCCGCTGCCTCTACGTCCAAGCCTGATGAGACTACGCCAGCTCAGCATGAAGCAGGTGACGGAAAGAGTCCCCTAGCATCCAAGACACCGCCCGCCGCCTCCACGTCCAAGCCTGATGAGACTACGCCAGCTCAGCATGAAGCTGGTGACGGAAAGAACCCCCTAGCACCCAAGACACCGCCCCCTTCTACGCCGAAGCCTGGTGAGACTCCGACAACTGGGCATAAAGCCGGCGACGGACAGGAACCCCCAGCAGAATTCGATGCAAGGAAGTCGCCGATCACCACCACCGCGACCATCACCACCGCAGCGCCCATGTCAACTGCGGCCAAAATCTCACCCGCAGCGCCCATACCAACGGCAGCTAATACCTCGACCGCAGTGCCTACTCTTACAGCAGCATCAAATGCCACAGCCATCCCCGTCACAGCCGCCATCCCCATCACAGCCGCCATCCCCATCACAACCGCGACGCCTATCACCACCGCGACGCCCAATCCTACAGCGCCTATACCAACCGCAGCTAATACCTCAACCACAGCGCCTACTCTTACAGCAGCATTAGATGCCACAGCCATCCCCATCACAGCTGCCACCCCTATCACAACCGCCACCCCCATTACATCTGCGACGCCCATCACATCCGCAACGCCTACTCCTACCGCAGCATGTGCTGCTACTGCCACCCCTATCACAGCCGCCACCCCCATTACAACCGCGACGTCCATCGCAACCGCGACGCCCGCTCCCACGGCAGCATCTACTGCCACTGCCACCCCCATTGGAACACTCGGCATACAGGACGACTGGTCTCCTCCTCCGGACAGCGACGACCACGAAGATTATGGCGTCGCCATCCCGTTCAGTCAGAGTAGCGCGCAGCCCCCAGAGCCTGAGTCCCGGAAAAGGGTGAAGCTGACCGTCGACCTCTCGCAGCCACCAAGCAAGTCGGACATTGAGGCAATGCAGATCACCAGGGCAAAAGAGTTGGACCGCGCATCCGATTACATCCTGAAGCTGACCCTCCGAATGGACACATGCCCACGGGCGGGGATGCTACGTGACGTCGTTCAAATGGCGGTGCAGCAGTATCAAGAGTCCGACGGTGCCATACCGCTGATTTATCTTCCGCTCGGACCGTGGCCTATCAGCCTCGCCTCTATGCTCGAGGTGTGCTACGCCAAGACGTGGCTGTCCGGCACGACTATTGATTTCCTTGTCGAGAAATGCGGCAGTTTACGGGGGTACTTACCGGAGGTCGTGTATGTCGCTACAAACCGTCCAGTATACATGGAAACCATCGGCAAGTCATCATCTAACCCCGAGATACGCCCCGAAATCGCATCACTTGTTCCGCAATCAGTCTTCATCATCCCTGAGCTCGACGCCGCAGCGTCCATCGTCTTCACTTGGAATCCAACCAACAGCCATTGGGTAGTGGTGCAGGCGCTATGCATGGAATTTGGGGCGGGGCTCATGCGCGTCTACGACACCGGACGTAGATACCGATCTACCTCTATGTTCGAGCAGGAGCTCCGGCAATTCCTTGCGCTGGTGGCGCTCTCTCACCCCCGGTCGAGATTGGCGGACGTCGATTGGAACACAGTGGCCATTAGATACGAGGACACAATACAACAAGAGGCAGATGACTGCGGAGTCTTCGCAGCGTGGAATGTGAGGACATTACTTCACAATGACCAGCCCGCGAAGTCGGCCTCTAACGCTTTGAGCGTTGGCACGGCACTCCGCCGGGAGCTGTTCACCGAAGCACACAGCACTATCAGCGGCCGTGATCCTCCCTACTGCTCGAGCCAGGCTGCGCTCGATGCGCACATCGAGCATCTATCTGGCAACCACCACAACGATGACAAGAGCAAGGACTCCGACGACAACGACCACAACGGTGACAAGAGCAAGGACCCCGACGACAACGACTACAATGATGACAAGAGCAATGACCCCGAGGGCAACGACTATGACAGTGACAGCAGCGACGGCTACGCTGAGCGCATATCCCAGTTTCAGACTTATGTCCACCCATCATGGCAAGATGAGCACGATCTTTTGCTGAAATCGTTCTCGGAATTGCTGACTAAACCTGAGGCCTTGAAAGCGCTGTTAGGGGGGAGAAAGAACGGCGTACCTGGTCCTCGTCTGGCGCGAAGATTCAAACGGCGAACATTCGCGAGAGGGGTAACTCGCTGGGCCAGGTTGACCAACATCGCAAGCAAATACGTCAATCACGTCAAAAGCGACGGTTCAGTTGTCAGTGGCATATATCAAAAGGGTTGCGCGCGACTCCTGCCTGCATTTCCAGGGCTTCATGAACTCGAGGACAACACCACCATCCGCGCCACCGCGACTCGTGCTATCTTTGGCACAGATCTCCATGTTTGCGCTTCGCCGCCTGATCCGACACGCACATACGATTTGGTGCTTCCATGCTTCCGTCGCTCGGGCAGGCCACGGGACAGCATCCGCTCCGACACCGAAGTCCTCGACAACGAATCGGAAGAAGTCGATGTACGCCTACAAGCGATGTATGATCAATGGGAACAAGTCTTCAACAACCACCCAAGACCCCACGACAAGATGGACACGCAGGGAGCGCTAGCAATGCAAGGATTTAGGCCGGTCTGGATCCGACTGGTATTAGGGTTCATCACATCGACACTCCCAGTTCTCAGTGCAGCTGGACATTCAGCGCGAGTGGCAAGCGTTTACGACACGATGCGAAGGGTCATTGACCATGTTCAAGCTCTGGCGGGTCGGCGCATCCGTGTCTTATTCCTCTTTCCGGGCGTGGACGGACTGACAACTAACAACGGGTCATGGCAATACCTAGTCGACCGCTTTCCAGAAGTTTTGTTCTCTTTAACCGCTGTCGTGTCCCCGCAACTCGGAGCGCTCTACCCATCGGTATTCACTAAGATCGGGCGTTCTGCTTGGACGCACATTGACGTCGAGGAACTTTACTTTTGTTACAGCGAGATGCTTCGCGGGTTCGACAACGCTATACAGTTCCTTCAGTCTCCAAAGCCTACTCGCTTTATCTCTTGGCTTACTGCTCTGCACGAATCTTCGTCCAACGACAGTGATTCTCCTCTAGTTCAACGTCTTCGCTTAGCGAATAGCCTCTCCAAGTGACGTAGATTGTGGTATGTATATCTCTTCTTAGTTTCACTAAATACTATTTCTTCACTTCTTAAGACTACCTGGTAGAATATGCCGCAAGCCTTGGATGAGAAAAAAGCTGAATAGGTCTGGGGGCTACATCAACATAAAAACACACAAAGTAGGTAATGTACCGTTGATGTAGGCTCTAGGGTGTTTAGACTTTCCTTAGGTTGACATGCATATGTGATGAATACACAGGCGCCTTCTTAGCTTATACTAAACAGGTCTGCAGACTACATCAAGACAAAATCATGCAAGGTGAGTGACTTGACATCGTTGTAGGCTCCAGGGTGCTCAGGACTTTCCTAGGTTGACGTAATTTCGTGGTTTACCACGAGATGGACTAAACGTACTACCAGCACGATCGAGATTATTTTCCATTAGCAGCTTCTCCTCTTCAGTCAAGCCTCACAGCCGAATCAGTTACCGTCAGTTCCGTTTTTGCCGTTCGGTCTGTTGAGGATATCCTCTCCCGGCACTGGCACCGCGATCCCAAGGCCCTCCTCCTCTGCCATCTTCTTCTGCCATGGTAACATCTCCTTCGCCGGTACCGCCGGCCCAACCTCACCGTCCTCCTTGCGCTTCTCGGCCCACTCATCAATGTCTTTCTGCTCGATGAAATTACCGTGCAGACCCAGACGTAACTTTACAGGTAGATGGATGACAGCCAGCGGCCCCTGGGAGAGGTTTTGCGCATCAAAGATGAGGATGTCGTTGCGCAAGACGTCGAGGTGGTTGAGCAAAGCCATAATGTATCCATCGCCTTCCACAAAGTCCGATGAAGAAGACGAGGCCTTTGGAACGAAAACCGGTTCTTGGAACGTACATGTCGGTCCTGCCCAGAAGGTATCTTTCTTCCCACTGTCCCACTCGTAATGTCCCAATACGTTGAAGAGCCCACCAGCGGGCGGTCCACACTTCGAGAAGTCGTACGGTTTGCTCGGGTCGATGTTACATTGCCAGAAGTGATTGTACTTCTTCGTCAGAACTCTATCGTCGATGCGAGAGAACTCGCCGTTGATGCCAAAGAGCTTATGGGGTTGCACCCGCGTGTTAGTGGGAGTTTTGGGATCGAAGACCCAACGGTAGGTGTCCGAGACGAGCTTGTTGCGTTGGAGTAAGGTGGTAGGTGTATCTGCTTGGCTGTCTGGTGGGAAGAAGAAGAAGACGTTGTCTGAAGCTATGGTTAGGTCGACAACGATGTTTCCCGAGGAGTCTTCATAGGAGCCAGCGACGTGACCGTGAAAGCCTCTTATCGTCAGCACATGTCAAGATATCGCCAGTAGCATACACACCGTTGTCAGCGCGTAGCCAGATAACGTCGTCTGGCTTTCCATTCCGACGAGGCACGATGCCGTACCACTGGTCTTCGTCTGGGTCCCACGCAAAGTGATTGCCGCCCTTCTTGAGCCTTTCAGCATTGACCTTGATTGGTGTGAGTGGTAGAATCAAGTAGTTCTTGGTGATAGCGCAGTCGTGTATCATCCCACAGAACGGTGCCTTGTACCAGCATTCCTCAGTTTTCTTCCCATCTTTGTCGATCGTGTATACTACGATGTCACAACTGGCATCGTACCCATTGCCTCCAGCTTCATAGCCATAGCATATCATTTCTCCAGTGTCTGGATCGAATTTGGGGTGCGCAGTAAACGTTGGAGTTTGTACTTGACCGTCGAAGTCATATCGGCCAATTGTCTCTAGTGTGACCGGGTCCATAGCGAAAGGTGGGCCGTCTTCCTTGATGGCTAACAGCACCCCTCGCCAGAATATGATGTTAGTATTGGATGCTGTTCTGATAATGCCCTTCACCATCTCGTTATCGGTATATGGGTTTCTGTATCGGCCAAGTAGAGATTTGCGCGCCTTCGTTTCCGCCTTGAACCGGTCGGTATGTACATATCGCTGTCTGAAGTCGACGTGACCGTTCTCGAAACGAAATGCTGAAACCGAACCATCGCCGTTGAAGTGTATGTCCTCCTCGTATAAGGGTGGGAAGCGATGGTCTGGCTGTATACGGAAAAAGGTTCCGTTTATATCTTTGGGGATCTGAAAGCACTGAGCTTCGTGCTCTATCTCTATAGGACGACATACTCACTGTACCAGTCGTCTCGAGCTCAAAGATGTCGGCTTCGAGGCGCGATGGTTTGTTGAAGCCTTGGAAGAAGCCACTATCTGGGAACTTGACTTGGTCACCCGACCGGTTCCCTTCATGATACGCTGATGAGGCAGGGTTCGCGAGAGAAAATATGTGTGCCATCGCGTACGTGCTGTGCCCTCCCACCTGGCATTAACGTGCTCTAATACAAAGTGTCCCTCATATTACAATGCTTCGTTCTGGCAAGGAGACGCATTGGTCTGCTACCAGACGTACTGCCGTCCTCAAAGGTTACGAGTATGGATGTGGGGAGGTGGATTTGCGGGGTAGTTGGGGATGATTACAGGGGTTGTTGTGCCCGGATTGATGCGACCGCGCGGGATCGCAAGCGGGACTATTGGTCCGACACAGCATTGAACCCTGGAAATGGGACGAATCTACACTTTTGGACACGGACATAGCCGTAGCGCTGGACTGAGAGTTTCTCGTCCGATTATAGCTATGACAGATCATAGCACGCAGCTGACTCGGGGATGATAGGTCGCCTTGCTCCGTCTCCGACCCGCTAAGAGGGATGCTTTTCCGGGAAAACTGGCTATAACGCTGATCAACTGGTGGTGACTGTGAAGGCTTGCGTGGCTACTTTGGTCGCGTACACGTGCTCTATGTCTGGGGCTTGCTGCGCATCATTAGCGATGTAACTTTGAGCTTCCAATACACCTGTTAGACTGCATAGAGTAGGATGCAAAGAGATCTGAAGCCGTGGCCGCGTTGTACTTGTACGACTCCACAAACGCCACTAACGAGTTGGTGCGAGCACGAAAGATGTAACATTATTCGTTCGAAAATTCAAGTCATTCCAATCGCATTATAGCAAAGAAGGGCTACATCTTCATGCGCCATATCGACACATGCAGCGCGAGTTATGGTCATAAAGTTATTCGACATTCCAAGCTAAGCAGTCCTTCACGAATCAGAGTCTGGTTTGCTCAGCACGAGTGGAGGAGCGCTTGTTGAAGCATCCTGACCAAAGTGTGGAGCTCTAAGATCATCGTCGGCGACTTGCTCACCAGTGACAGGGTGATTGTAGTGGAATGGCACGACGCGCGTGTCAGGCCAGAGCATCGGACGATCACAAAGAACGTCTGGCCCATTTGGATCCTCCGGGTACGTTTTCGAGAGGAAGGGTACATAGTTCGGCTTGGTGTGCGCCCACCCCTTTTCGAAGGTCGCGTGCCAGAAAGGGAAGTACTTCAACCTGAAGATCTTCCATGCCCCATCTTCTTTGATGTATTCGTTCTCGTATATGCCACCTTCCCACCATTGTACTAGGCCGCGAGGGTGTGTATCTTTGATGCTATCGTGGGTACCGGCTGACATCATGCTGCGGAAGCGACCTTTGGCTCGCGTGCCATCGGCGTTGACGTCGACTATGCCCTGCATCTGTGGGTGATCGAGAAGAAAGCCATGCACAGGGCCATTGCGTCCGGCTACGAAGGCATTTGCGAAGCGACCGATATAGAGTCTCTTGACGCCCTCCTTGCCATTGTATCGGCCTCCGAGGAACTCAACGCATGTGTCCGGGTGATCGGAGTAGAGGTTGGCGACCTGTTAAGATGAGCTTCTAGTCAGATAGATTCTTCGCTCTACTAACCTCTTTGTACAGACACTTATCGAGATAGTACCCGTAAGTGTACTGAAGCTTGCGAATGTCCTCCTGATCTGGTGTTCCGTTAGCAGGCCGCAGGAAGCTAATCGATAGCTGACTAAGCACCTACCGCTCAAACGCGTTACCTCCGCCTGAAGCTTCCCCACTATCGCCTTCAATTGCTCAATCTCGCTACCCATGATGTCGGCGTCTCGGAAAGGTTATGAAAGTGCAAGTCATCCGATCGCTGAGGCCCTACGCCGCTTCTTATCATTATCAGTCTAACACGAAGTTGTCAGCGATACATGGAACTATTCCCCAACCACGTGAGATTCGCAGCAAGGGTGGAACTTATGCCAGAGCTCCGCGAATGGGCTCGCCCATATTGGCGGTGGTATGGACGCGACATGTCTGAAGCCGCGGGCTGATCTTTCCGGTGGGACGTTTTGAGAACGTGTGGAGCAAGACGGCACCGAGGTGGGGTCATCGAAGCAACGCCGTGCCACAGCCTCGCTGCTTCTCCAAATTTACCGCACCTATCTCCACAGAAGAGATAGCATACGCTGCCACAAACTTTGAACCCTTATCAAGGGACGCTTGCATATACTTGCTCTAGAACTTCCGCCATCAAAATGGGTCTACCGGAAAAAATCGAGACGCGTCTCTTCATCAACGGAGAGGTTGGCTCCCTTGAATCAATTAATTATGCCTCCGCTAACTACTTTATAGTTCGTTGAATCATCAAATGGGAAGACGTTTGACATTACTAACCCCGCCACATTGAAGCTCGTAGCAAAAGGTGAGTCTGGAACGTCAACGCAAGAGCTTGCGACCAACTTCGGAGAAAACAGACTTACGATCGTTACAGTCCACGAGGCATCTGAGCAAGACACCGACAATGCTGTCGCTGCAGCAAAAGCTGCTTTTCCTGCTTGGTCAAAATTGACTCCAGACCAAAGAGGCCAATACTTCAAGAAGTTGGCTAGTCTGATCCGAGAGAACAACGATGAGTTGGCCGCTTTAGAAGCAAGCTCTATGGGTCGCCCAGTAGGCGAGTTCTTCGATGCCTATGCTTCTGCAGCGAAGTGGGATCGTTATGCAGAAGCTGGATACAGTGTGCAGGGTAAGATGGTTGAGTGTGAGTTTTGCAGCAGGCTACTAACATTGACCAGGTACCACGAGCGTCCAGACTCCGGGATATGTCAACATGACGCTGCGCCAACCTTACGGTATTGTAGCTGGCATTATTCCCTGGAACGTTCCATTGTTGTTTTTGGCCAACAAGTTAGCACCGGCTCTCATTGTTGGGAATACTGTGGTCTTGAAGAGTTCTGAAAAGGCTCCATTGACTGTACGTCATTCCTTCCACACTCCTGCAATAGACTGACGATGATAGTCCGCCAAAATCGCCACTCTGGTACAACAGGCTGGCTTCCCTCCAGGTGTAATCAACATCATCACCGGCTTCGGCAATGTTAGCGGATCCATCTTGAGCCATCACATGGATGTACGAGCATTATCGTTCACAGGCTCAAGTCGCACGGGACGATTGATCCAGGCAGCCGCCGCAAAGTCCAACATGAAGCAAGTTTTCCTCGAACTTGGAGGCAAGTCTCCAGCAGTCATCTTCGAAGATGCCGATCTGGAGAAGGCCGTGAAGGAAACGGCTCACAGCATCCAGTGGAACAGTGGTCAAGTCTGCATGGCCAACTCGCGCATTTACGTCCAAGATACGGTTGCCGACAAGTATATCGAGCTCTTCAAGCAAAACTTCGAAAAAGAGGTCAAGATGGGTGACCCCCTCGATGCGCGTGAGAATGGCGTCAACCACGGCCCACAAGCTGATGAGGCGCAACACAAGACTGTGTTACAATATTTGGAATCGGGAAAGCAATCCGGCGGCGAACTCCTCACTGGTGGCGGCGCTCCATCGGGACGCGAAGGCTATTACATTGAGCCTACCATATTCAAGAACACGCCAGAGGACGCAAAGATCATGAAAGAAGAGATCTTTGGCCCAGTTGTCAACATCAATGTCTTCAAGACTGAGGACGAGGTGCTCGCAAAGGCTAATGCAACAGAGTTCGTCTCACGGTCCCTAGCGTGGCCAAGCTGAAACGAATATTGACTAATTGTGTCTAGGTACGGACTATATGCGTCAGTGTACACCAAAAACATCGATCGCGCGATGCGCTTCGCAACAGGGCTTGAAGCTGGTACGGTCGGCGTCAACTGCACCTCACCAGGTAAGCAATATGCATTCGATTGGATTGTACGTGATGCATTCGCTGACTCGACGACACCTAGTTACCGGCGTAGACATGCCCTTCGGTGGATACAAGTCATCAGGCTCAGGACGCGAAGGCGAGCCTCTGTATTCCTTGAACAACTTTCTGGAAACAAAGAGCGTCTTGATTAAGATATCTTAAATATTGCGACATGACACGATCGGCTGCGACATGATTTGCCGTCTCTCCAGCGCTATTCTGTGTTCGCTATAGATTTTGATTAGCCGACCGGCAGGTTCTGCAGGGTGGCCTTGCGCGGGCGCAATGCCCCAGCAGATCCCCCGCTAGAAATGGGATCCCTTTTCCTTTATCCTCAACTGCAGCGGGCTCGATGCTCCATGACTTCTCCACGAACTGCTGCAAGCCTGCCGAATGAAATTTTCGTATCGCCGCTAGTGTCATCTCACTCGGCCGGGCTGTCGAGGGTGTCGGATAAATATGGCCGAGTACGCGGCCGTCGCCCCGCCACGAGTGTCGGCACCCCCATCCAGCAGAGCTCCGAACGCCCATCGTGTCCACAGCAGCTGTGATCGGTGTCGCAGTAGGAAGACAAAGGTAGCTTAAGGCATCTCCACGTCAATCAGTGCCAAGAAACTAATGACTACCTCTAGTGTATTGATCCTGGTATGGGGTTTCTCCCACCGGTAGTACGATCGTGCCGACAATGACACAAGCTGACAATCTTAAGTCCCGGGACCATGTCGTTACTGCGCACGCACAGGCGCGGTGTGCACAATCGCTACCCCAAGAAGGAAAAGGCCTTATTACCATGTTACCGAGGAAGAGTACCAATGTTCTATGCGCATCCTCGAACATTTCTTCCCTGGGCATGAACTTAACCTCCAATCGCTCCGAACCATTGCCAAAGCCATCAAGGAAGGCACATTCAATGCGGAGCCTGTCCAGCATACCGAAGGCCTCTTCAGTAATGACCAAGAGTCGCCTGAGGATGCAGAGAGTGTTGATGATGGCGAGGAACAAGACGTACAGGAACTGCATGAGCCGTTGGGCTGCATGATGAAAGATTCAAGAGGGAAATTTCGATACGTTGGCGCTCACAGTGAAATACCCTTTAATGCTGCTGTGGCCACTTTGGGTATGCAAAGGAAGGACCCGTCGATTATCCCAGGCCCCAAAGTAGGCTCATATCCGCCTACACTACCAGGCTCCTCGCCTTCGAATTCTCCCGGTTTTGAAGAGAGCTACTACCTTCCCGGTCGAGAGTTGTGCGACGTCTACATTTCCCGGTTTCTAGAGGATGTCCATTGCACGTACTGGCTATACCCAGTGGAAACCCTGCTCCGGCGAATAGAAAATACTTACTCCGAGTCGGCACCGCGCTCGTCGAGCTCTTGGATGTGCTGTTTGTACACCATGTTCGCCATTGGCGCAGCAAACTATGTAGGCGCCAACGGTAACTCTCCGCCACCGGATTGGCCAGCTGCGTTGGACCCGAAGACATCAGAGGATTACATTACACTTGCAAAACAACTTATTCCGGCAGTATATGATGAGGCCGATGTCGACAGTATACGTGCAATGGCTACGATGGTATGTACACCCGGCATTGTTTCGACTGTGTTCGACATGGCTGACCACTTCTCAGAGCATCGCTATGGAGAACCTTTGCTCTAGGGTCAGCGCTTATCTGTATATGGGCGCTAGCGTTCAGATGGCGTTTTCTTTAGGTTTACATCGTGATCAATTAGCTGATTCTGGAACTACAATGGAGCGAGAACAAAATCGCAGAATCTGGTGGACACTGTTTCAGCTCGACCAGGAACTATCTTCGCGAGGCGGGAGTCCGACGGTCATAGATGAGCGGTTTACGAAGGTTACTACGCCCATGCCTTCAGAGCAGGTAAGTCTAGAATCGCCCATTCATAACGCGTCCATACTAACGGTTATGAGATACTATATCCCGGACTCCATACCCCGCTATCATGGATGGCGACATCGGTGTCTCTCTGTCGCTTGAAGCGTGAGATCATACAGTCGGTCTACATGGAACGCTCGGCCAACTCGATATCCTTCTCAACCGTATCTAACTCTCTTCTGCTGCTGCAAAAGTGGTATCGCCAGATGCCGCCACACCTCAAATACGACGTACCCGCGCCTCCCACGCACCGACGTGCGGTCGCAATCTTGCATCTCCAATATTGGAGCACCACGATACTCCTCACACGGCCGTTCCTTCTATACCTTGTCATCAAGCACGGGACGCTGGCCTCGAGCAAAAGGATATGGTTCGAGCGGATGGGCAAGATGTGCATTGACGCCGCACAAAAGAGTATCTCAATACTGACACAAATGGCAAACGATGGCACACTATCGAGCTTAACGGCCTTTGACAGCACATGTATCCTACGGCTGATCATGATCTTCATCCTTGCCTACGCACACACCAGAACATCACGGTATAGCGCGCATATCGAGAAGCTGGTGGAGCTCACACGTGGTATGGAGCAGATAGGCTTTACCAAAATGGTAACTGAGGAAACACCATTACGTCTCGCCGACCTGGGTATCACGGGCCAGGCTCAACAGAACAACGGAGACGCGAATGGGTCGAATGGGCAGGTTCATCTCGATGACGAGATGATCGCTCAGTTATGGGGCAACTGGGATCCGTAAGTGATGAGCGAACGAACCTACGTGAGCCATAATACTAACGCCTGCAGCAACTTCATGACCCCGCTACAGACACAGCAAAGTCTTGATCTTACATTCGATGATTCTGGCGCCTACGACATCAATTCGGAGTTGTTGGCTTTCACGAATTTGGACGATTCCATCATTATTGACCCATCGCAAGCGTTTTCGAACTATGGCATGCATTGCTGAGGCTTCTCGGATCATTGGGAGGGTAATAAAGAGGAGGGAGTTATGGAAAGCATGCGTGGTGTATATATAGGAAGAATTTGGGAGGATTTCAGGAGTTTGCATATCATGCATCTGGCGTTTTTCTGGGAAGCGCGCAACAATACATCAACGATGGGAAGAGGTTACGATAATACAAAGTATACGGGCGACTCGCCAATGTAACAAGAGTTGAAGAGAGAGGTTTCCAGTGCATGGTGATTTAGGTACTGCAGGTCTCATGTTGTTTGCTCTCAAGACCAAGAAGCTGGAAGAACGATGTCCGGCTTTCCTAACAACAGCTGTCTCGAGATGTTGATGTAGATTAGAATACACGGCCCTTTGTCTGCTTCATGCCAATAACGTCGATGTTTCGCCACATGAGCACGCCAGCTATGCCGATGATCCATGCAGCAGTACCTGCGATGAACAGATATCTTTGTGCATCTCCGTAAGCCCTCTGTACCGCCAATCGAGTGGGTGATCCAACTGGGTACGACAGCTGCGTCGTGATATCCGCGTAGATCATCAAGAAATTTGGAAGTTCTTCCGCCGGAAGGTACTCCATGAGCTTCTTGGGGACCACGTCTTGCCAAATTGCAGAGGACACCGTTAGTCCAATGGCTCCACCAACACCTCCACACATGGAAACCAGAGCGATGGCGACAGCGAAGTATTGCTGCTCCTTGACTGCGGCCAGGATGGCAATCTCGGCCGTGATTGTCATGACGCCACCACCAAACGCGGCGAAGATCTGGCACATGACGATATAACCGATCTTTTCCGTGGGCTGATTGAAGTGGATGAGCAGTGCGGTTCCGAGTACTACCATAGGGAGTGAGAAGAAGAGAGTGACTGGTTTGAACCGTCCAGTATAGGATATGAAGCCACCGACAAGGATAGCCAAGATGTAGCCACCAACGCTATAGGTCGACATGATGTAGCTGGCATGCGTAACGCTGAGGTTGTTGACGACTTGCAGGATGGAGGTGAAGTACAAACTCCAGCACATATAGCTGAAGAAGAGAGCAAAGGACAGGAGACACGCTCCAGCGACAGTGCGATCCAGAAGAAGGTTCCAGGGGATGAAGCAAATCTCAGCAAAGAATCGCTCCCAGATTCCGAAAAGGATCAGTAAGATGATACCGAAGACGAGAAAGCAAATGATCATGGGCGAGTCCCATCCCTTGGCTTGCAGAGTGTAGAGGTTGAACGGCAGAAGGAAGAATGCGAATCCAGTAGATAGCGTGAAGAGACCAACAGCGTCGAACTCGCGCATGTAGTACTTGAACGACTCCCAAAATGTGCGTCCACTCGACCGTTGGGGTACCAGACCTTGCTTCTTCGCCTTGAAGTAGTGGTAAGTGAAAAGGCCGAAAAGAGGAAGGGTGACCGCCGGGACGAGGATGCTTTCCATGCCAAAGGCCCAACGCCAGCCTGCTCCGTTGAGAAATGCCGTAGAGATCGGTCCGCCAAGCCAGGCGGTGATCAAAGAGGACGAAGCAGCCAGAGCTTGGATAAGACCTCGGTGGCGCAATGATGACGTGTCTGCGACGAACACGCTCAGACTGTATCCAACACCATTGATGCCGACGGTATAGAAGATCTGCGACGCAGCGTATGCCTCAACGTTGTTGCAAGCAGCCGACATAACAAGCCCGACAGTGGCGAGTATGGAGCAGAGAAGGAATCCTTGTGGGCGGCCGAAAACGTCCAGAACCTTGGCTATGCTGAGATTCGTCACACCTCCGATGACAGAGCTGAGGACGCTGGTGGTAGGGGTGAGGGAGTGAAGGGCGAAAGAAGAGGTAACGTAGGGTATCAAGGCGCTGCTGATTTGGCCTACCAAGCCCTGGATGAAGTAGACCAGCCATATGAGGATATAGGCAGTCACCAGCGCTCCGGTGGTCCAGGAGAGCGTCACGGCTTCGATGTCTTGAACACCAGCCTGGAAGTTGGTGTCAACCGTGTTGTCGCCATCTGGGGTGTTGCTAAGATATTCTGCGTCTTTCTCCGATCCATGTGAACTTTCGTGAGGGGCATTGCGAACCTGGCTAACAGCCGCCTTATGCTCGACCTCGGGGTCGTTTGACATTGCTCGTCGTAGGGTGATGTTGGCCAGCTAACAGATGTTGGGTACTCGCTGATCCAAGAACGAAAGTAACAGTGCTGGAGGCAGACGGCTATAAAGAGGTCGAAACGGCGTGCAGCGGAGAGAGCATGCAGAGCCTCAGCACCGAGACTGTGGGAGAAGATAAAGGAACTAAAGATACTACAAAGAGATCGAGACTACCATAAGCCGATAAGATGTCTCGTGTGTCTGTCTGGCTATTCACTCATTTTGTGGCGAGCAACACTCGAAGAGGTAAAGACACCGACTGGCAGGATCAGACGTGCATCGCAGGCGTGGCGGTTTCTTGCTCATACCTTCTCCACGGCACGGGTCGCGACATGTAATCCACATGAAAACTGGGTCGTCAGCTTGGCGACGGAATTGAGAAGGCGTGGTTCTGTGACACCCGCAGTCGCTTCCGGGTGCAGCGGTGGTGAGCCGTCTCCCGGAGGCTTGAAATGTCCTACCAATAACACCGGCTCAGCACCCAAATCGCGGGTAGGCGACTGTAGAAATTACTGGTCAAGATCCAACATCGAACATTATTGCATGGTTGGAGTATACTGCCGCCATGTGGCTTACATGCTTCTGATCTGCAACTCGCCGGAATGCGTCTAGCTCGAACGCCCCGTTCCAGGAATTAGCTCTAATGTGCTCAAACATGACTTCCTGTCCAGCCTGAAGATGCGCACAAAGCCAACAATCGCCACAGCGGCCAATAAGAATTACCTACAATGCAGACCGCGCCAATGGTGGATCTGTGTCCTTCAATAGAGCCTATGCATGCATGCGACCCGCGCAGCGCACGCTCCTTCTCTTGCTGACATGTGGTAAGCTGAGCATCCAGATGCGAAAAGTCAACCGCTCATTGAACGAAATTCAGAGGAAGATGTTGTCCAAAGATCCACGCCGTACAAAGAACAACGAGTCTTATGAGCCAAAGTCCATCTTGAGCGCGATCTTTGGCATGCCATCATCCTCCCTACTAACCTCCTGCCTTCTCTGCCCTTGCCCGCTCTTGAGCACTCCCTCCATGAAACTCCTCTGGTCGGCGTTTAGCCCAGTCACCACGCCCCTAAACGCCTGCTGATCCGCACTAGCGATCTCGAGTAAGCGCGCCGCAATTTCTTGGCTGGCCTTGGGTTCCTTCTGCGCCCGTGCCAACAGCGCAGGTATAATGATCTTGGTCGCGGTCTGGCGCTGTGACGTTTGTGGTAGTGTGGAGATGAATGTGACAAGAGTCTGTGCGAGCGTTGTGCGAGAATCGTCTAGACCCTCTACATCAGAGGGCGTTGCCAAGAAGGCGAGTGTTGGGGGAAGGATGAGTTTAGCAAGGCTCGTCTCAAGAGCGCCTTTCTTGGGTAGAAGCAACAGTGAGCGACAACAGCCTGCTGCTACCTTGCTCGTTGTAACCGTGCCGAGACAATCGAATAGGTCGTCAATAAAGCGCTTGACGAGCGGATCATCAGGAGAGAACGCAGAAGCGGCGGAGCTCAGCAAGATGGTAGTCGCAAGAACAGTGTTCTTCTCACATGCAAGAGCAGCATCAAACTCACGCTGCTGTGCGTATCTGAGAATTGCGAGGAAGCGCGAAAGAGTTGCGCGGAGTTGCTTGCTTGTGTCATCCGTCCCTTCGGCATGCGGTGCAAGACTGGTGATGAAGCGCTTGAAGATCGGAAGTGCTTGAGGAATGACTGTGGTTTGGCATGCCCCAGTGCTTAGTATGGTCGCGAAAATGTGGAGGATGCAAGCGTGAAGATCAGCCTTGATGATCGATGGGAAGACTTGCGCTGCATCTACGAGCGCAGAGAGTGCCGTCGTCAGTAGGGCAACCGCCTCTTCGTTCATCTCGTGGCGCGCTGGGAGTAGAATTAGCGACTGATTATGGCGCGATACCGAAGCCAACATACCCTTAGCTGTGCTGTCTTCCAACCCAGGCACAAGTCCGGACAGGACTAGCACCATGATCTTGGTCAATTCGAATAGCTGATCAATGTCTTCGGAAAGATGCTCATCCGCGGCGGTAGTTCTATCAATGTCAGCAAGCTAATCGTAGAGCTTCAGGGTGTCCTTACCCTTGGTCTCTGCGTGCAGATGGATGGCCAAGACATAGGTTCCGTGTGATCTCGACTATGACAGTCTGTACCGTCAAGCCCTCAGTGAGCACGAGTCGATCCAGCATGTCCATCGTTTCGGAGAACACGACTTCTCGGTAGATTGCATGACCAGATACTGAGGGTCGCAGGATCTTCTTCAGGGCCTGCAATATCTCCAGTATTTGCTCTTTAGACGCTTGTAGATCGCCTGGACGACCTGCTAATGCCTCGAACGCGAGACCGAATAAGACAAAGAAGAAAGCGACAGGTTCATCGCGGTAGTTGATGTGATCGGACTTCCCATTAGGGGTGGATTCTGACAATTCAGTCTTGCCATCTAAAGCGTCAAACACGAACTCGCTGTCTTCGTCGATGAGACTGGCAATGGCATCTACGAGGTTGAGCCAGGTATCTTGGTAGAACTGCACTTTGTTAGTATTGATCAAGGATTTTGACGACCAACCATACCTTCAGAAGCGTCTCGCGGTTGAGCGCAGCATAGATTGTGTCTAGACTTCCAGATAGAGAGGCAGAACCCATGGACGAGGATATGTCGGGCTCGAACCTCAGGCGGGCATACTCTCGCAGCGACGCTAGCCAAAGTGGAGTCAATTTTGCGATGTGTGGCTTCAGTACATCCACCAAGTAGCTTTGCTCGGCACTCGCAATCTGCAGTTCTGCCCACGCTGAGAAGACTGCCATTTTGACCATGACTTGAGCGTTCGAGCTGAGTCCTTTGAGATCGCCGATTGCTGCGGTTTCGGATTCGCTGGAGAAGTTCTCAAGCGCTGAGACGAGCAGCTTGAGGATACGACCCATTCTATCTACATCTGTAACGATTCCGGTAGCAATGAACGTGGCGCATACGTTGACAGCTTCAGCGGCGAGCTCAGGCGATGAATCTGCTGCAAACGCTGGGGTAAGAGCTGAACCGATTTGAGCTTGGTACTGCTCAAGCAAAGTGACTTCAGCGAAGTCGGGATCGGGTGTTTTGCCGAATAGCTTGAGCACTTGGTCGATAATCTTCAAGCCGCGAATCCTCAGTTGTACTACACCGGCGGTCGATGCAGAGAAAGCGATGCGCACAACATCAGCAACCCTCTGCTGTAAGGCCATGACACAGGGTGACTCCTCTCTGAATGTGGCCTCTTTGCTCACCATCGCGACAAGCTCGCTCAAGCAATCCATACCGAATGTTCGCACTTGCCACGTGAGTAGTTCCTGACTGACTTGAGCGCCATCTCCAGCCTCAGCCCCAGGCGCATTAGACGCTGATGCAAAGCCCGCGACTTCCTCGTCCTGCAAATCAGTCGCTCCTGCTTTTGGCTTCGATTCGATCTTGTCTTGCGTCTCGACTTTCTTCGTTTTTGTGAGTACTGAGTGGCATCGCTGAACCCATGTCGCGGTGTCCGATAAGCCAGTTTGATGCAGCCAGTTGCGGATGATATTCCGCACTACTTCATGCTCAGAGTCACGATCGAGAACATGCCACAGCTGATCTTCCAGACCGGGATCGGCAGCACGTATGACTTCCTCCGTGTTGCGCCTCATGAGATTGTGTAACCCGTCGATAGCCATGTCACGGATTTGTGTCGAGCTGCTTTCAACCGCCCGTTGTAATTGTTTCACGTAGGCTGAGAACTCCATGTGGCCAGGCGCGTATAGCGAAATATGTTCCTGGCAGCGCAGACTCTCGATGATGATCAGCTCATCCGCATCGCCCTGGAAGAGGCCGACAAGAGTCATGATCAGATCTCTTGCCTTTGCAACATCTTGCAGGTCCGGCCCAAGCACGTTGATTGTGCTGTCGACGCATCGCGCGATTACGGCAGGGGTAGGTATGTCGATCTCAATGTTCGAATATGCCGGAGACATCGATTCATCGTTGTGTGTGTCGGCTGCATATAGTTGCGCTAGCATGCCGAGCGTACTGGTAACATAACTGGAGAAGGATAGACCGGCGGAGTCAGCAACCCTCGATAGACTGTCGATGGCCCAGAAGTGCACAACCGGATGGGGATCATTGCCGAGCGACATCAGTATTCCAAGTATATTCTTGAGATGAAAGCCAGCAGCCATACCACCGAGCTGAGAGTGTATACAGCCAAGCGCGACAGCATACCCAGAACGAGCATTGGGTTCCCGATTAGCGACGATCTGGTCGACCAGGTAGTTTACCTCAGTGGTGGTGAGAGCGTTTCCAGAGCTGTTGCACAGACGACCCAAAGCTTCACTAGCAAGGTTGCGGATGAACGGGTCGGGAAGGACAACAAAAAGATGCAACAGATCCTGCATCACCTTTTCGACCGCCGGTCCTTTCAGACTTCCTGGAGCCGAGCGGGTCTCCTTGACTGCAACCTTCAGAGCAGATAGCACCGCATATGCAATGTTGACCATCATGGCCGTCTTTCTGTTAATGTCGCGCTGCAGGCTACTTGCGGAAAGGAATGATGTCATCTGCTCCAAAATGCTTTCTTGGATCCTAGCAGTTTGGAGTGGTAGACATATCGCAAACAACTGAAGTGCCGAGTTGACGACTTCAGTCGCTGGCGGGTCAGGAAGCTCATGACTCTCGTCTGATGTCCTGATGTACAAGGATATCGAATCGTGTTCACGAGCACCACAGATGGGTGATAGAAGCTGATTTATGTCAATAATAGTCTTTCAGAATTCAGCGCATACGTACCGTGCGGTCAATAATCGACTCAGGTCCATGCCTCGTGAGCCAGTGATGGTGGGTACCAGTCTCTTGCTCTCCAGGAAGGGGTGTGATGTCGAACCCACGCACCAGTCCAGTGACACCGAAACCATGGTTATCAGCCACCTCCCATATGCTTTCGAACGTTCCTGCAGCACTTGCGATTGCCGTACTAAATGAGCTTGTGG